TTGAAAGAGAAAGTGATCAGTTGTGATTATCTAGAGCGCTCTGTCTCTCTCAGTCCCGTGTTGTGGTATAGTATTTGTGAAAATAAGCAGAATTAGGCAAGTTGCCTTGAGAGTGTTTGCTACTATTTGATGTTCAAAGCTTATAGCGTATCATCTCAAATTATTCAGCACTTAAGCACTCGAGGCATGTTTCCAAATATCTGCTTTAAAGAATGTGTTAATGCAGTTGATGTTTTCATGTAGGAAGTTGATTTGTGTTTGCATTAATGTTTGGTGTGTCCCTGCTGATCACAGAGGTTTTAGAAATGTATATTCTGGGATCGTAAGTGTGTTTTAGAGGATATGTTATCTCTATGGAGCCTGAAGACTGACCCCACACTGACCCCACTCTTCTCTCTCTTCAGGACTTATTGACTACAACTTCCACTGTTTCAAGAAGGCCATCGAGGAGGTGTTTGATGTGCGTTTGAAAGTGCAGAGAAGCCGCAAGCTTCTGAGCCAGAGGAGGTGGAGCAAACAGGCCGTGCCAAACGGGACTCACTCTCAGCACCACTGAAGACCTGCAAACACCATCAGCATCATCACTAGGGGTGTAACAATACATTGTGGCACAATACATTGCAGTGCAAGATTGTAATAGTTGTGAAGATGGGTTACATCAGCTGCTTGTGTATTAAATTATGTCACTGAGTAATCATAATCAGGATCATATTCAGATTTCTGCGGTTATCTGATTATTCAAATGGTCGTGTAAACAGTACACTCTGGTTGCTTAGATCAGAGTAAGGGCTAGAAATCCGATGAAAGAAACCTGATAAAGAGAGCTGGATTTTAGCTCAGTAATCAGATTTCTCAGCGCATATAAACTCTTACTCTGATTTCTTTCGGATGTCTCAGTCTGCGCATGTGCGAAAACAGACAAAATCACTTTTGGAGCAACGCTGAAATCAACTACACGCTTGATGAAATGAAGGATTTAAATATTCTTCATTTTCTAGATGTACGTTCATATTTTCAGCTAAAGTGGCACAATGTTGTAAAAAAAAAAAATAAAATAAAAGCCGCAGTATGAAGTTTACATTACGTCACATCCACCTTTGTTAGTTTATTGGCTGCTTGTAAAGCAGAAATCTGATCACTGCCTGACTCATGTAGACCTGGAGTTTTCTCATTATCTGATTACTCAAGTGCATGTAAACACACTCAGTGTTTGAACGCCAGAGGTCGCATTCAACTCAGACCTTCCGACCACAGAGGCAAACGAACAGTTTGATATTTAGTGTATGCTATAGTAGCCACCTAATTTTGGCTACGTTCACATTACCGGGCTGAAGTGGCACAAATCCGATTTTTTGCCCTACTGTGACTCAGATCTGATATTTCACAAATCTGATCTTTTCAAATCTGACCTGAGCCACTTTCGTATGTGATCCCAGATCTGATACATGTTGGAATTATTGGCCTTGCGACCTCAATGAGAGCGTTTTCAGATGGTAATTCATGGTTTTTTTTTTCTCACTGGGGTGAACCATCAGTCAGCGTTACCGTGGCAGCAGCGCCTAACCCGAAGTTAGAGCCAGCAAACGGTGGAAGAGCAACATGCGTCATGTTTTCGCCTTCATCTTGCCCTAATAATGAGCAGCCGAGATTATATTGACAGCGAAGGATCGTTCTGCTCGTTACTTTGTTTGCTGGTGATGCACGTGATGCACGTGATTCATTCACGTGACGTTATTGATTATGATGTGCACATGTGGATCATTTTAGGACGCCGGTTCGTTCACAGTATTGACAGATTAGAGTCACTTACAAAAACTAATTGTGAAAGATCATGTTAGAGAGATCAGATCTGAGCAAAAAATCGGATTTGAGGAATGAGGCTTATAATGTGAACGTAGCCTACGGTTTCACTCTGATGGGCTCTCCGCACTTCTGTTACACTCTGATTGGCTCTCTGCACTTCTGCTAATCTCTGATTGGCTTGCCACACTTCAGTTACACTGTAATTGGCTCTACACACTACAGTTACACTCTGATTGGCTATCCACATTTCAGTTACACTGTAATTGACTCTCCGCACTTCAGTTACACTCTCATTGGTTCTTCACACTGCAGTTACACTCCGATTGGCTATCTACACTACAGTTACACTCTGATTGGCTCTCCGTACACTTCTGCTAATCTCTGATTGGCTTGCCACACTTCAGTTACACTGTAATTGGCTCTACACACTACAGTTACACTCTGATTGGCTCTCCACACTGCAGTTACACTCTGATTGGCTATCTGCACTTCTGTTACACTCCGGCTCTCTGCGCTTTAATTAAACTCTGATTGGCTCCCCGGACTTCAGCTACACTCTGTTTGGCTTGCTGCACTTCAGTAACACTCTGATTGGATCACTCACTTCAGTTCCACTCTTTGTCACGGTGGAATAGCATTATTTATTTCAGTCTACTTTGGAAAAAATCACACTGGACTGGACTCCAACAAAATGCTCTAAAAGAGGTATTTATTCAACTTCAGTCAAACTGCCGAACAGTCACATCTCTCCACCATGTTAAGACCTTCCCCACTTTGTTCCCAGAGCCCCGCCCCAGAAATTCAAATGAATGAAACAGTAAGGGTCCACATCAACCAATCATTAGGTTTCTATTTGCTCTATATTGTCAGAATATAAAATTGTGTACCCAGTATCAGTAATCGAATCATGCCTTGAGTGTATCGTTACACCCCTAATCATCACCATCACCATTGCCAGTCATTACAGAATATGACAGTGAAGACCTCAGGTCAGGATTACTTTCTGCTTGTTAACAATTCACGACAAACTAAGCCAAAATATTTTGTGAGCTAGAAGACGACAGGAGTGAAGACAGGAACAGACTGAGGAGAAGACAAGCTGTATATCTCTAGAGGTGCTGATGGCTTAAAATATCAGAGAAGAGCACAGATGGAGAGAGTGACTTTTTTAGCTTGTAATATAATGTTTCAGGAAAGTTCTGTTTGGCTATTGAATGTTTAGAGTTGTAACTTTCTGCCATTTCTGTCTGTCATTTGCACAAATCCCTGCTTTTTTAACAGATTAACAGATCAACACTGAAGTCAGTTTAATCAAATTTTTCTTTAACTTTGCCTTTGATGTAATGAGAGCGTTTGTAAAATAGTGTTACAGGAAAGTTACAGTGGGCAGATGAATGTTTTTGAAAGTTTGTGCGTGTTGACATTTGCTTAAATCTGCATTTTTATACTTAAGAGATCACATTGACATTTACGTTTCAGAGCTTGACCTTTTTACACTAAATGACTTTAATTGAGGAAAGTTAGAATATTAGAGTTAATTGCAAAACCTTTTTTTTATCCTTTGCCTCTTATAATGAGAGAAATTACACAAGGAAGAAATGTACAAACATACACTTTACCTTAACAGCGTAGTTTAACTGTAGCAGTTTTCTCTCATCTGTAAATGCAAGTTTAAGTGCGAAGCCTTTCTGCATTAGAATCGAGCCGTTTATACTTGCCATTTGTTAGGCTGCTAATCTGCTGAATATTTATTTATTTATATTGTTAATAAATTGCATTTATTTGAAAATACCTTCTTTCAATTTGTCATATTTATGGAAAAGATGTTGGGTGTATGGATATGAGTTTGGGGACGTTTTGACGTTTTTTGGTAACAATATATTAAATAGCTGTTTGGATCTTGCCAGTTTTCTTTGAAAAGGAAGGAATACTTGCAAAAAAGATAGCAACTATCTATAAAGCTGAAGGCCGCACCTTTGATCACTGTGTTGTGATGCTAGCAAACCTGCTGTAACCACCTTCAGGCCAAAATAGATTCAGTGTGAGCTTTTCACAATAGTTTGACAAAGAAAACTGTAGAATTATTATTCAAAACCTGCACTTCATACCAAAAAAGATACTTGGATGAACATAGGTAAACATACCCGGAGCATTAGCACATAGCTGCTTTATAATAAAGTAAAAGTTTGCAGGTGTTTTTACTCAGTTAAAAGAGAATAATTGAGTAGTTTCAATGTAAACAGTCATTCGGGGTGGTTTGATGTGAAATGATTCATTGTAGAGAAACTTGCCAACTCAGATGTCTTTACAGTGGTGGTGATAGGAACCAGGGGTCGCCATGACTACAACACAGTCATTTTATTTACTATCCAAAACCACCAGTGAACCTACACAAGTCTTTTGAGTTTTTATATGGAATGTTGATGATGGTGAAATAGTGATAAATCTGAAATAATAAGTTTTCTTTGGAGACTATTTTGCCTCACAACACCCTGCATGTATCCCTCCACCATGAATGGCTTTCGAAAAATATTTTAGGCCAAAATCTTCTCAAAACTATCCTAAAACAGTGTCTCAGTCATCGTGCAGTGAATTCATAACCATTTCATGTAGTAACTTTCTGTGAGGGAGCTTTTAGAGGTGGATGTCTGGTTCCTATCACCTCCACTGTGAACAATCCTGACTCGAAGTTTCTCTAGAACAGAGCGTTTCACACCAAACCACTCTGTTGACGTTTAATTATAGAGATAATTTTTTTGAAAAAGTAGGTTGAACCTTAAAAAGCATTTATAAGCAGTTGTAGCACATAAATAGAAAGGGAAACAGTGAGCTGTTTTATGTGATGATCTGTTGAAGCTGACAGGTTTAAGGCTGACTGATGGAGGAGACAAAGTAAGATAAGTCAACAGCAAGATCTGAGCTTTATAGTGTAGATTTTATGTGTCGTAACTGCTTATCAATACTTTAAGGTGATCTAATAAACGTCAGTAAAGTAATTTTAGCTGTACTGCAAAGTGATACTGTTATATATTGTGTTTACTGTCAAAAAATCCCAGGCTTATTATTCAGTAACTACAGGGGCTTAAGATTAATTAAGAGACCCTTATTAGTCCCACAACGAGGAAATTTCACCTCCGCATTTAACCCATCCATGCAGTGAAACACCACATACACACTAGGGAAGACACGCACTAGGGGGCAGTGAGCACACTTGCCCGAGGCGGTGAGCAGCCCTATCCACGGCGCCCAGGGAGCAGTTGGGGGTTAGGTGTCTTGCTCAAGGGCACCTGAGTCATGTACTGTCGGCTCAGGGGATCAAACTGGCAACCTTCCAGTCACGAGGCTGGTTCCCTAACCTCCAGCCCACGACTGCCCCAACTGCCTTTAAACTGGTTGAGCTATTCTTATGTTATAGAAGTGTGTGATAAAGCTTTGGACCCAAAGGTGGGCCATGGCTATTTATGAGAGGTTAAGCAATGTCCATGGGTAAGGCTTCTTCACAGTTCTGTGTATGTGTTTCCCCTTACTGGTGACTGCTTGAGCAACAGGCAGCAGTAGAGTGTCTCCTAAATCCGCAGGCACACACACTCGCCTCTGCTGGTCTTCACACCCGCCACAGCTGAGACCTGACAGGATCAACGGTAACCCTTTAGCTGGAATGACATCTGCTAAACGTCTTTGCTCCGAGAACACATGCAGATATGGCTGTGTTCCAAAGCGCCGTGTCGGCGGACAGGTTTCAGTGAGCTGTATGTGTGGCAGTAAGTGTGTCGCGCTGGGGGGGGTTTAGCGGTCGGGGTAATCCCAGCGGGTGCCTTTACTTCCACACGAGGACTGGTGAGGAGCTCATGAGGTCAGAGCCGCTGATGTAACAGCTGCTCCTCTCTGGATGGACGCTAAATTGTCTGTAGTGAAACTACAATGTGTTATGTAAGACAATTTCATGTTTAGATTTATAATCCTGAGCAGAGGGCCAAACTCCATTTACTCAGTGGCAGCACGGCCATCTGTGAACGAGGGCTTTTCCTCTCTCTCTCTCTCTCTCTCTCTGTCTCTGTACTGTGCGTTGTTACGACACATGGAGGAGGGAAAAACCTTCGCTGTAGGTGTCTAAGCCTTCTCTGCTTCTACATCTGTTTCTGTTCAACCCAAAAAAAAAGAGATGAAAAGGCTTCAACTCTAAGCTCCCCACTAAAAATGATTCATATTGCTAGACAGTACTGGGCAAAAGACCACCCTTCGCTCATGTCTACTCAAGTACAGGTTCTTTATTTTCAGATTTTTTGAGGGAGATTAAATATAATAATCAGATAATATTCCACATGCATCAGGAAGGATGAAAATCAAATGAAAAAAAAACAGAGCTTTCCAAAACTGGAGTTCAAAAACAATTAAAAGCTACAGAGAAACAACCACCTGGAAGACCTGGTAGACCCCAAAACTGCCCCCATCAGATAAACAGCACTTAAAGCTTTCATCTCTGAGAGAGAGGAGAAAATCAAGCTGCTTCAGATCTGAAAACATCCACAGGTGTTTCTGTCCATCCTTCCACTGTGAGAAGACGACTCAGCGCTGTGGGTCTGAAAGGATGTGTAGCTGTCGAGAAGAACCTCACTGAGAAAAGGAGACGGACACATCAAACAAAGAAGCTGAACGATGGACTGACCACCCCAGAGTCCAGACCTCAACACCACTGAATGAGTTTGATTACTTCAGAAAATGATCAACCAGCTTCTAAGACTGAACTTTGGAGGTGTGTCTGCAGATTCTTTGAGGAACTGAAAGTGAGTCTCCTGGAAAGAATGGAAGCTGTAATAAAAACAAAGAGTAACACAATAAATACTGAAAAATATGATATTTGATATTCTGACTGTAAATTAAATTAACTGTGCACAGTACTGTTAAATGCAGTATATAATATGTTTTAGCACAATGTTTACATTATACAAGTTATATTACTGTATGTTGGGCAATAGTCAGTGTATGAATGCCAGGTACTGCAACCAAAAATATAAAAGTAAAGCCTGCACTTTCTAATGCAAACTGAACAAAACAATAAAGCTTTGTTTATTCTGCATTAAAGACTGTGGGTTTTCTTTTCATATTCTATTCAACACCCCATGCATTCTGTCTACAGTTACAAAACAGTCAGTCTCTGTTGGGGCTCTTCTAACTAGTGATTTTACATTAGAAAGTACAAATAACATTGTGAGCGTTTCCTAGTATTGCGTAATTTTTCAAAATCCTGCCATCATTCGGTTTATCAAGCAGTGGGCCTTTTTGTCCATATCCACTGTTATGCAGGCTGCAGTAAGTTACGCTGTGAATCAGGGACCTGCTCGCTGTGATGAAGGCTGTCACAGTGCGTTAAAAACCACACCGCTCAGAAATTACACTGTCTCCTCACATTAAGAATCTGTTCCCTCAGAGTGTTACTGTTTGGGAGAAAAGGGAATGATCTGTGTGCTCTTCTTTGTTCTGTCAGCTATGCAGATTGGAGTCCTAATGCACGCTGCTGCTGAATTCACAAAAAGCAGTAGGTCTCCAGTTACAGGTTGTAGTGATTTTACCACAGGGAGGGGATGTTATTAGGCATGCAAAGCAGTGAAAGCAGCATAAAACTTTCTTTTACTGTCCCTCTGGTTGGTAAGGGGACATTTAAACGTGTCAAAATGGGGCCTCATTATGTGCATATTT